AGTCCGTGAACCACATAGAATCAGTGACTCAGCATTACTGTTGAAAATACGAATCTGGTCCCTATAGTCGGGTTCAGCAGATTTCACACTAATTTCAGAATAATGGGAATCTGTCTTATATTTTCAATCCTGGTTGGCTTTTTGCATCCTATTTCATGCCGCCTGTATCTGAAATGATACTGCTGGGTAAGTAATTGACAACAGTGACTTATTTCATATTTCTCACATTGATTGTGACTGATGCTTACTGTTGTCGGTTAGGCATCTTTATCACTTATGTCGTGTGCATTTGTGGCATCTGAGGTAGAGTGCTCGCCAACCACGCCTCATATGGTCAGGGGTTCGATCCCTGGCCACCGATGGACTCCTCCTTTACCTCGACAAACCAGTAATTAGACTAGTAAAAGAGGGAAGGTTGACTATGAGGCTAACAACCCTATCCCGTAAAAAATATACACCACTGCTATAGAAACTTCAACCCTCTAGCCTGAAGCCCTATGTTCTACTGGGAACATAAAGGAATAAAAAAAGGTCAATTTTTCAGCATGGGGTCGCTAGCCACAATACGTGCCCGGACCTTCCACTTGTCTGGGGAGGTATACTCTTCTATTGTATAGCCGATGTAAGTCTTGTTAACTTTGCTTTTCATTCCTTTAAATCGTGATATGCTTTCAAAATGAATATATGAATGTATAAAAAACCAATCAAGGATTTTGTAAAAATTTTTAACTTCACTCTATCCTACTTGGTCAGGATGAAGAAGGGAAAAGTAGTCAAATAATAGCCAAACTTGAGAAGTGATCACATGAGCAGTCTTGGTGAGAAGTATTCTTTTTTAAGCAAATCGAATGTGGATAAGCGAGAGAAACTATACTACAGGCTTTTAAAAGAAAAACACTTCTTAGCCTCATTACAGTTTACTACTGCGTAGCATTATTAGTTTTTCAAGCCTTTAACTACTCAAAATTTTTAATATTCGCAGTATTGTCACGTACCTCTTCACTGTTCAGCAGTGCTATTATTAGTATTATTATTACTATTACAGCTAGTTACACCATTTATAACTCTCTCATTATATTTTACTCAATTTCCTCTGAACATTTTCCAAAAAGCTTACGTCTAAAGGGAACAAATGCTTTAAACAGTGCCGTCACTAGGCATCTCCTTGCCACGGGTCATGAGGTGGATTTCGAAAAGTTGTTCAAAATTATCAATAGACAAAAGAGCTCAATTCTCCTCAAGTTCCCTGAAGCCATTTCCATCAAGCACCTGAAACCTGATTTGTGAGTTCAGAAAGAAGCGGTTATCAGTCTTTCTTTGCCCCACTTGGTAACTGAATATCTTTCATCTCTCTTTCATCCGAATGAGAAATGCTGAAAAGTTTCCATTGTGTATGATTATTATTGTTCGGAATAGTAATTAATATTGCATATATATATTTGTATATATTATTAGTGTATGCGTATTTGATCGATTGATTTTTGTTTAAAATGAACTCTGTGCAAGTATGTTAAAATTGTTTTTAGAGATACATTTAATAATGTCTTAGGCCTGTAAGCAGCTGACGAGAAGACAACGAAATAAGCAATGATGGTACCACTTTATTCTGCAAAAACTGTAGTTCTTGCTTTGTTCAAATTCATTAAGGGGAATAAATGTATGAAATTTCCTCTCAGTTTTTACTTGTAAAGTTGTATAGAATAGAATAAAGTCTGAAATTTACATGAAGACAGTATTATTCGCATAAATACATGTCAATGCATACAGTAGAAGAATACTATGCGAGAGGGTTCAAAGCACCGCTGACACAGTCTGTAAACGCCGGCGGTAAGCTCAGAAAAGAGGAAAAAATAGGCATGATGGTAGCAACCCCACTCTTTCAAAATAATACAACCATAGCTACTGAAATTTCAAAGGTTCAAGCCATATGCTCTGCTAGGAAAGCAAGTAATTAAAAACGTTCGTTGTAAAATATATGATATGAGTGATAAACTTTGTTGGTTCGAGGATTTCATTAGGAGCTGACCAGTAGGGTCCAGCAGTCTGAAGGTGAGACAGTAACCTGCCGAAGAAGATATTGCAAAGTGGTCGCACTAAGCCATGAATTGGCAGAAGTTAGAATTCATGGGCTGGTCATTGAACTGGTTCCCAGTAGCTTGATGGGTTCGAACAGTGGGAGTGGGTGAGTAATTATAAACATTCCCAAATGAGCTAGGACGAAACAGTTGGCTGTCCAGTAGCCCCTGCAGGTTTTCCAATATTTCTCTAACTGATTTCAGCTCATTGTGAAATCCTCCAACCAGTCGAACGAAATTCCCCACAAAACTAATACTTGATAAATTTTAATTGAAACGTCTTCCAGTTTGTCATACTTTATCAGACTGCCGCATATGGAATTATTCGCTACAAAATATTGCCCAAATCCTACACTAATATTAAGGATATTCGACCTGTGTGCAGTTTCGTTTCATCGGTGACATTCCTTATTGTAGTGGACTGAATTATGCGTCAGACTGTAGGAAGCGAGAAGACAGGAATATGCTGAACCACTGATAAGACGACTATAGAATATCCGGATTTCGCATGTGGGTGATTTATGTCTTATGTCACACAAACAAATTCGCAGAAAAAAAAACAGGCAGGCAGCGAAGCCAGGACTCAAGGTGAATGCAGAAAAGACTGAAATGATTAAGATAATCGCCCAACAACAACCTGCACCAATCACTATCAACGGGAGTAATTTTAAAGAAGTTACTTCCTTCACTTATCTAGGAAGCATCACTTCAACCACAGGCCGGCGTAACTGATGAAGACGTCAAAGCCAGCCAGCCACATTAGGAAACGTGAGACGTACATTCATCACTCTGAAATCAGTTGGAAATCTTCTGCATTCAGAATGAAGGATAAAATTCAGATTTTCAACATCAATGTTAAGTCAGTCAGTTCTTCTATATATGTTTGACACTTGACCTGTCACGAGGAACATTTCCAATAGCCACGTTCGGTCCGTATTAAAAATCAGTTGGCCAAAAAGAATTAGCAATAAGAGACTCTGGTTGGGAACAGACCAACTGATAACTCTTTGCTCAACAAATATTCACAAGAAGATGGAGATGGATAGGGCACACGTTGAGGAGACTATCGAATCACATCGCTCGCCAGGCTATCGCTCGAGCGGAATCGCATTGGGAAACCACGAGTGGGGCTTAGTGTCGAGGGTGGTCAATCGTGGAGCCAGGTGAAGTGGATATTGGAAAATAGAACAAAGTGGAGATGTGTTGTTGAAGCCCTACATTCCACTGGAAACGCAATAATAGCAAAACACTGCCAGAAACGTACACCTATAATAAGTATATTAGACCTGAGTTATTGGAATCGCCATATCACTTACAGTTTCTAACTATGGATGCATAAATTTGATTCTACTGCCCCGATTGCTTAGAACTGATGTTAGAGACTTTCTGAACAAATTTCACGTCCTGATTTGAACACTATGCATTGTTTTATTTATTCCGTCTACTTTTAACAAGGCATTGCACGGTAAAGGCTTATTTCAACCTTATTAGTTGATTCAGTTTTCCAGCTTCAGATGAATTACTGTCTGTAGAAGTATTAAAGAGGAACAATATATCAGATCAACACCTCAGCGGAACACTCTATTAATGAAAAAATGTTTTTTTATTCCTTCACGTTTCCAGTGTGGAACATAGGGCTTCAAGCTAGAGGCTTGAAGTTTCTGTAGCAGTGGTGTTTATTTTTATGGGATGGGGTTGCTAGCCTCATGCTCAAGCTTACCTCTTTGCCAGTTTTATTACTGGCTTAGCGAGGTAAAGCAGTGCGTTGGTGGCTGGGGATCGAACCCCGGATCATGTACATGGTCGGTGAGCGTCCTAACCGCTATGCCACTCACACCTAATGAACAAGTGTATTAAATCTTATTTAGTTGTTGGCGGAATTCAGACGCCATGTAATTTGAAGCCATAAGTCCTGGGTTCTGATTTCGAGAGGAACACCTTCACTCACTGAGAATGAAAGCACATCGACCCGACGAGTTTCATGAAGAAACAAACGCAAGTCCTAAACTCCACTGCTGGTCAACACTAGCCCAGTAACAGCATTTCCGACTCAATGATGCAGTTTAGTATAATCAGTCAACAAAAAATTCAAAGTAACTTCAATGTACATGGATGTGTCTAGGTTTCAACACTAAAAATATTCCAACGAGTGTTATTCCGCCTTAACTAAACGTCACCATGCACTTACATAAATCACTCCATTTCTTCACCGGCATAACAACGAGATTTATCCATACTGCAGCAAAACATCCGTCTAGCTGACGATGAGCCACATCTATTGTGTGAGAGCTAGTGATACTACCTGTCTACTGAAACCTCAGAAGATGCAGCAAGGTTGAAATCGTAAACTTGCAAGTTGTTAATAGAGCACCTAGACCACTGAGACACTACTGCATAATGCCACTCTGCTCCCACTCCGTATTGTATCGTTTATGCATCAGTGTCTCCATCACAACAGTTGACAATGCTATCTGGTTTATGGTTCTGTAAGTCAATAATCAGTCACTTTTATTTATTTTTTTGCTTCAGATCTCTGTCGCGGGTGGTACTGACTTTTTAAGGGGTGGGGTTGCTATTCTCATGCCTAACCTACCTTCTTTACCAGACTTACCACTGGCTAAGTGAAGTTTAAAATTGCGTTGGTTGGGGTTCGAACTCCGTGGTGGACGACTATCCTACCAGTGAACTAACGATGCACCAATAACCAGTTTACTGATCCCAAATTTTTACTCTGATTCAAAGACTTCTCGATTTAATAATGGTTATCCTGAAGTGATAGCCAGCTGAAATACTGATATCAAAGTAACATATCAAAACTAATCAAAATTACTAAAAAGTAACTGGATAAAAGCCTGCAATCATACATAAATAATCACCTGTGATAAATAAAAATAAGAAAAGAAATAATATACATTCCCCACTTACTTTGATGATTTCAACCATTTCATGCTTTTCAATTGTTCCATTCCCATTGATATCATACATTTGAAAGGCCCATTCAAGTTTCTCTTCAGGTTTACCACCTGATGTAATATTAATAGCCAAAAGAAATTCTTTAAAGTCTATTTTCCCCGAATTATCCTTATCAAATGTTCGAAATACATGTGTACAAAATTCTTCTGCATCCCCGTCAGGAAAGAAACCTGAATACACTTCAATAAATTTCTTCTTGCTTAATTGACCAGAAGGACAATCTCTCTGAAAGTAAATTAAAATAAGTCTAAATGGTTATGTAATGATGGATTAAATTTGTCTCGAAATAGAGAGACTATAACATAAATAAGCAGGAATTTAAGGCATCTACAATTTAACCATATAAGGAGGGGACATCTGAAACCCTCCGTATGATTCTTAACAGAGCAGAAATTAGGGTGCCATATAAACCTACAAACTCACTCACTCACTCAGGGACTAGTTCTGTAGGTTAAAGGAACCTATTCACCCAGTCAGACAAAATAATATGATCTAACAAACACCTTGCAATGACTATGGGTTAGGTGAACTACAAAAGCCAAACTAATAGATCGGGGGTAGTCGAATTTTCAAGTGCGTTGACTGCACAGAAGTAGAATGCTCGCCAACCCCGCATGCGGTTCAGAGTTGGATCACCGGCTGACGCACTCCTTGACATCGCTAAGCCAGTATTAAGATTAGTTAAGAGGGAAGGTTGGACATGAGGCTGGCTAGCAACCCTATCCCGTAAAAATAAACACCCCTGCTACCGTAACTTAGAGCCTCTAGCTTGAAGTCCCATATTCTAATGGGAACGTAAAGGTATAAAAAAATAAAGTCAGACTTTAAGAATATAAGAATTCAGCTAAGGTTAGAATGATTGACCCCACCCGCGAAGATAAGTAATTTAGAAAAAAGCGCGAGAATTGCACTGTATGCATTTACACACAACCACACAATAGGGAGGGAGGAGAAGATTGAAATTCTAAAACGTAATGTAGGTAGGTGGAGAGAAATATTGATTGCTGAATCTTTGATCATAGAATCTGCACTCAACACGTGCCATAGGAATGTCTCGTCACTCATACCGGAAATATGGAAAATACTATTACCAATCAAATCAAGCGATGAAAAATAATGGAATTATATAAACGAAGTTAGAAATTTGTGTGAGTAGTGCCTTGATAAGATTATGAGCAGCAAAAGATTGTGTTCGAAACGTGGTCATCAGTAAATATCACCGTATAGCATAATGTGTGATTTTATCACATAAATTTAATCCACAATGAAATTCTACTCTACAAGTTCTATTCTCATAGCATAAATAGGGAGGCTAAAACCCCGCTGCCCTCACTTTACAGTTTCTAAATGGGGTTAACTCTCTGAGACAATTGTGTTGGGAAAGAATAACAGATAACTCTAACAAGGCAATTCAAATTGTCTTTCTTGAGATTACAAGTTTTAAAATCGTTTATCCTAAATTCGAAAGAGTGAAGCAGTAAAAAACTAATGTTAACTTTAGAAATAATTAATGAGAAATTGAACCAATTGAGAAAGTGAGCTTGTGCAAAGCAAAGTTGAGTACAACAATCCATCTACTCGATCTCACAGAGTTTGTGCTTGGGTTCATTTGAAATGATAGCTTTCTTTCAAGTTTTGGTTTTGTAGGGAATTTTGTTTGATTGGTTGGAGGATTTCATAATAGGCCGAAATCAGTTAGAGAACCATTGGAAAACTTGAAGGGAGTACTGGACAGCTGTTTGATGAAATCCTGCAACCAATCAAACAAAATCACTACAAAACCAATACTTGAAAGAGTGATCTGATGCTCACTAGTGAGTGGTCCTATTCAGGCAGTTAATCTGGGGTTCTATTGGGAAGCCGGGTGCAGCAGGTTGGAGGCGAGGCAGTAACTCATCGAAGAAGACATTGCGAAATGGTTTTACTGTGTCATGAATTGGTAGAAGTTAGAATTTATGGACTCGTCATTGGGTTGAATTGCAGTGGCGTAACTGTCTATGAGCTAGCTCACCTTGTAACCAGAAGGTTATGGGTTCGAACTGTGGGGTGGGTGCATACTGATGAGGAGTCCAAATCAGTTGCAACGAAACAGCTGTCCAATGCTCCCTGACTGGCTTTCCAATGGTTCTCTAACTGATGAAATCCTCCAACCAATGATAACTTTCTGTCGACTGATTTTAACGTTTTATGACCCAGACAAGTAGATTCAAGTATAAGGAAAGATAGGTTAGAAAACAGAAGGTAGGAGATCGAAGAAGGTCGTCAATTCAACTGAATCCAAGCCATTTCACCGCTGGCGATCAGTTTGTTTATCCGTGCGGATTGAGACACATGGTGGTCAAAATAATTTTCAAGGGGCAAGAGCTCAACAGTTTCTTTGAAAATCACTGACAATAAATACGCTATTTAACAACCGTAGGTGTTACAGTGCTCCTTCGCTGTTCGGGACGGTGTTGAGAGCAGCCTGGCCACCAGATTAGATGAGCCAGGCTAAAGAGCTAGCAGGTAGTGTGAATAACTTTTAGATGTAGCAGGACTGATAGTCACTCATCACTTGTGAGCATTAAAGCTGGTGGAAACCAACTGGAAACGCGTTCAAAATCACTTAATCAGTCCAGCTAAGTGGGTTCCTAGACTTGGTGAGCTCGACATGATCTATGCCAATTCAGCCACCTATTGTTCTATATCACCATCCAATGCTTGGCATGTCACATCGTCATGTATCCTGTACACAACTGCTCTCCAGCAATAATTCTGGTGACTCAACCACAACTGACATTTGTACCTACTGGCAGATAACCTGAATGACTTTGGAGAAGCATACAGATGCTGCTGGAATAGACTTCTGATTAGGGAAAAACCGTTAGGCATTTATCTGTTTAAAATTATCCACCTTGTTTATCTGAGGAAACCGTTTGAATAAGTCAAACAGCCTATTCAACGCTTGATCTACTTTCTAACAGAAAATGCTAAACTGACTCGTGAAGGTATCCCCTACAAAGCTTATGCATGTCAACGTTTCACAGCGAAAATCAGAAGCGCGTGATGTGAGATGACTTGTCGACGTATATAACCATGTATGTGAAGTTATCTTCTATGTTTTTTGGTAGGTATTATATTATTCGAAATATATATCAAGAACATGACATCCAGTTAGTGAAACGCTTAGAGGTGTGTTTTTTGAAAAATGCTTTTCGTGTTTAAAATAAAATCAATGAATACTTTATTCAAAAATTGACAGAGAATCGATAACAAGTAAACTAGTTGACAGACAGTTAACAGTGAAAAATGTTATTCCTCATTTCTCTCTCTTTATATAAGTGGCGAGGGAAGGAAGGCCAGTCAAGAGAGAGGTAGGGAGAAGGGAAGTTGACTTCTATTCAAAAAAGTCTTCGTGTATGAGAAATAACAAGGAGTTTTCCCTTGTAAATGTCTTTTGTTCTTACCTTTATAAGCAATTAATATACGCTTTTTTCATTTTCATAGTATGTAGATCAAGTTTCCACGGAAAAGCTATTAAATTACTGTCAAGTGCTAGTTTACAGGGATTTGATTGTTTGGAGGATTTCATCATGAGTTACAGGATCACTTAAAAGCTTGCAGGGAGTACTGAACACCTGTTTCTTCCTAGTTTGAGGCTCTTCACAACATTCACCCACCGCCAGGGTTCGAACCCATGACTTTCTGGTTACAAGGCGAGCTAGCTCGTAGACCATTAGACCACCGAAACCTAATCCAATGGGCGTTGCATGAATTCTAACTTCTGCCAATTCATGATATGGCGCTACCACTAGCGAAAGTCATCGTTGGCCAGTATTTGTCCTCATACCCGACCTTAAATTACTATACTGAATATTGGATGGCCAATGAGGAAATATAAGCTAAAAGGGACTCCAGAAATGAAGCGAACTGGAAACGGAGAGGAATTGGACATAAGATAAGGAGACCGTTGACTGATATCCCCTGCCAGGCCGTCAAGTGGGAAGGACTATTTGAGCGTGGGTTCGATGGTGATATTGAGTACATCATGGGAAGTCTAAGAGCCACATAAAACAGTGGTGTTCTGCTGAAGTCATATGTTCCACTCGGAACCTAAGAGAATACTAATACAGTTATGATGATAAATGTGCTATTTTAGGGAAACTAAGCACTCTGAATCACCAATATGGTTCTAGTCACTGGCAATGATGCTGACTGGGTTCTATCGGAGAGGTGTTTTCAATTTGGTTCTCAAGTTAGGCAACCTTACATCGTGGTGCACTATGAATCGATGTTAGGTGATTGAAGGCAAGTGACAGTAAGCACTAGAGTTACATTTCGTTCGTATTGCCACTTATCAACGAAGCGTGTATCTCTAAGCTCGAAAGAATAAGCTGTAACCTCATTTGGGGTCCCTTAGGTTAATGATCAATTCGTGCATTTCAGTTAGTGCCAACACCAAGAACTTTGTACGTAACAGTCATTGTATTACTGATACTATGTTCGACTACAGCATTTTGTAACACCAGTTCAAGTTTCTGAGGAGGCGTCATTTCCATTCAGGATAAAGACATATCTTGCTGATAACTGCCAACAAGCACAGGACCTACATTCAGGTCTCAACCAAATAGCCAACTAACATCAGGTTCACTAAATATATGCAACAGAGAGAAATCGGGACGAAAAGCCTTCACGTAAGCTGTCTGCTGTCTTACATAATGAGTCAGATGATATGTGCGTCTGTGACACAGCAGTAGAATACTCACCAAGCACGCCTCAGGCGATTCGGGATTCAATCCCCAGTCGCCAACGCACTCCTACTTCACCTCGCCATCCCAGTAATAAGACTGGTAAGTAGGAAAGATTGGGTATGAATCTAGCAACCCCATCCCTTAAAAATAATTACCACTGCTACAGAAACTTCAAAGACTCTAGCTTGAAGCCCTATGTTCCACTGGGAACGTGAAGGAATTTAAAAATAGGGATATGTGTTAGTCAAGTTCTTAATTCATGTCAACCGATGTATGACATACATTGGTGTCGCATATATCCACTAGGCATCATATGAGACATTCCTCGTAGTATAATTAATCTAATTTGTCTGATATTAGTGCTGATGTGAAATAAGCCTGGAGGCGTTTTAATCCTTGTGATACAATTAATTGTAATACATTAAATCCATTCTAATCAAAAGAAGAGCATTTAATTTCATGCTCACCATTGTGATGACATAATGTCGCATATAG